TGCTATATAATGTTATCTCTTGAGAAGCATGATACATTTCCTATAATAAAACAGGAACTGGTTCTCCGCTCAGCCACTATAGAGGAGAGACACAACAGTTTATCCAGCCTCAGGGAATATCCCCAGTACCGGAGTGGTGTTTGTGGAGTTAGTGCTGTACCTAATCATCTCCATGGACTTTTCATTTAAGAACTGCACACTTACATGACTTTCAGTAGTTGCCATAGAAATCCACACAGCATGAACCTGCTTGACTAAGACCTCATGTCAGATAATTTCAAACTGGATAATTTCTATTCTTTTCCCAAACACAAGGTCAGACACCCAAGTGGGGGCAGGTAAGAAATGAGATATGTAGGTGGAAGAGCTACTTGCCCCTTTCCCAACATCTTTTTCTAAGGACTTTGACTTAGGGTAAATGAAAGTCAGATCCTAGGGACTATGTTTATTTGAAGACAACTCCATAAATGAATTAAGGAAGCTAGTTTTAACTCCTAATTCCCTGAAACATTATTTTCTTGAGTTGTACTTTTACATTTCTGTTGCACTTCTATAAAAATGAACATGGGTCACATTATTGGTATCAAATTCCTTCCTTTTACATTGCCTCTTCTCTAACAAATCTGATCCAACTCCTACTGAAATCAGTGGCAAAACTCTTATTGACTTCAGTGGTGCAAGATAAACCTTAAAGGTGGAAAAACCTCAAATTATCCTAAGTACCTATTTCAGACACAGAGGAATTCAAGAGAGTTAACCAAAGTAATTCCTTTGGACTTAATCATTCAAGTTTTAATTACAAAGCACTCAAACAGATTCCAAAAGGACAAGAATTAGTTTCTTAATTGTATTTTCATTGCTGTGCTAACTTGTGCTCTAGAGCGTGGAGCTAGGATTCTCAGTGGTGGCAGATGACAGAACAAGGAACAGTGTGGGAGGTCTAGGTTGGATATTAGGAAAAACTATTTCACTAGGAGGGTGGTGAAGCATTGGAATGGATTATCTAGGGAGGTGGTGGAATCTCCATCCTTAGAGGTTTTTAAGGCCCAGCTTGACAAAGCCCTGGCTGGGATGATTTAGTTGGGGTTGGTCCTGCTTTGAGTAGGGGGTTGGACTAGATGACCTCCTGAGGTCTCTTCCAACCCTAATCTTCTATGATTCTGTGTCCAGCCAGTCAGTCTCCTTAAGGTCTTATCATCCTGGAAGCTGTCACTTTTCCATTGAGCAAGGTTAATAGCTTCTAGTAGTGCTGCAAAGACCAATGTAGCTGTAACCAGAGGTTTCATAATAGAGTAATATTTAGGCTGCTTTAGTTTTGTCTTGTATTGGACTTGCAATTAGAGTAAAGCTACAACTCACAGGACATTAGAAACAGCACATTTAATTTGATGTACCCTGTGTTTGTTTAATCTAATTTGTCTCCATGTGCTGAGCTTTTTCAACAATTATGTTGTTGTTTAGCTCTGTGTGTGTGTTGGGGGGGGGGAAAGAAGAAAGGGTTCGAGCCAAATTCTGCTCTGTTACTGTAGTGTAAATCTAGGGTAACACCATTATGACGGAGCAGAATTTGGTCCAATATAGATACAAAAGAAAATGTTTCATATGGAAAATAAATAGTTTAATGAAACACTACAATGATGTGCAAATACTTGTAGAAAATAAACCAAGAAGCCCAGTTTCTCAGAATATTTTATTCCATTTCTGCATGTGTGTGGTTTTTTGTTTGTTTGTTGGTGTTTTAAACTGAGTGAATCTTGATGCCTGTGAAAAATACCAGTTCTAGTGAGCAAGGAGAGCTGAAGATGGCTGTTCCCTGACCCATGTGAAATATAATTTGTTTATATCAGTCCAGTTCCCAGGAGACAGTTGTCCACATAATAGAAACCTGGCACACTTGTTGACAGTCTCAGCTGAGAGATCCATGATCAAATGAGCATGGGGATAGTACTAATGGTGGGTCCCTCCTGGTCAGATGGAGGCCCATTGGTAGGTGTGGGGAAGCTTTCACTGCCACTGAGGGTATGTCTACACAGGGATAAAAACCTACGGCTGGCTCGGGTCAGTTGACTCGGGCTTGTGGGGCTCAGGCTAAAAATTGCTGTGCTGTTCAGGCTTGCGCTGGAGCCCAAGCTCTGGGACCCTCCTCCCTCCCAGATCTCGGGCTCCAGTCTGACCCTGAGCAGCACAGCAATTTTTAGCCCCACAGCCCAAGCCCCTCGAGCCCAAATCAGTTGACCTGGGCCAGCCGCAGGTTTTTTATCCTATGTAGATGCATCCTTAGAAGTCCACACTGTCTGTTCTGTGGATAAAAAAAGGACTTCCCTCTCCAAGGCTGTCAGTCTGGCATCTTTCACCAGCACTGTATTCACTTTTAAAACTGTGTGTGCATAGGCTCCCATGCCAGGCTTTCTGAGCCTGCATCTTGCTTCCCTCTGAAGGAGTGGAAGCTTGCAGGGAGAATTAATGCTGCTGTGGAATACGTTTTTTTGTTTGCCTTGTTGTAGCTTTGTTGCTCCCAGGATGTGGGAGAGACAAGGTAAGTAAGTTAATCTTTCACTGTAAATTTTTTATAGGTTAAACCACCTCCTGCCCCTACATGGCATATTTCTAAGGTTCAGAGGTCCTGTAGGTGGAGCACCCTGCAGTCACCTTGCCAGGCTGCTCAGCAATGTTCCCTGCTTTTGCTCTTGTCTGGCAATGTGGATGGAATGCATCCAGTCCCCAGAGAACACATAGGTAACTGCTCCATCAAAGCACTTCAAAATACATCCCATGTCTGCCATAAATAAATATGGCCTTTGCTATCAATTCTTTCTATCTCTTATTATTAAATTATAATGCACCAAATGTGATTTGAGGAAAAAGGTTAAAAACACGTGCTCTGGTATAAAACTTACTGGTACTTAGAGAAACTAATTATTAGCTGAAGATACTCAGAATGCCATATATACTCTGTAACACAAAGTATGGCACACACTGTGGCACCCAAACAGGAAAGAGAGGTAAAGGATTGTCACAGATCCAGAGGATCAGAGCTATGGCCCTATCTTTGGAGCAGTCTCTAGGAGGAACCTTCTCAATGTACCAGACCCTCAAGGGGTCTCACACTTCCTCCAGGGTAAGCCACATGGCTTCACCGTCTCCTTAGACTGGATCTGTGGGTCTGCAGGGCCCCTGCTTCATACCATGAGATCTGTTCAGTGAGTCCATTTGAGACAGACCCCTGATGGAGACTTGTACACTCTTCAGGGATGAATGCACCTCGCTAAGCATTTGCAGTGACATTTAGTGTTAAAACAGTAGTGTTTATTATTAGTAGGGTTTATTACTATGGTTTATAAATCATCTGCCACCAGCAGCCAACACTTATCCCCCATCTCACACCTCCCCAGTCCTTTGATCTCAAATTGATGGAATAAAGTAATGTGAAGTCCAGATCTGTAATTTTATAGTCTTGATTTAACAGTAAAGCTGGTCCAGTAGTACTCAGCAAACAATATGTTGAATTTTGGTCAATTTTTGGTTGTCTCCTTTGAAAATCAATACAAATTTTACCAAATGTATTTAGTATTTGAAAATGTTTGCTGCAGAGTAAATAATGAACAATAGGAATCTTCATGGGTTTTCTGCAAAATGTCTAGGCTTGTTTTTATTTTGTCATTTCAAATTTTTCACCAAATCATATGTGTTTTTCTGGTCACTGAATAGATGACCTATGCCCTCTAAACTGGAAACATACCTGAAAGAGACTCAGTCTCATAAGCAAACTAGGGAAATGTGGTCTAGATGAAATTACTATAAGGTGGGTGCATAAACGGTCGAAAGAACATTCTCAGAGGGTGATCAATGTTCACTGACAAACTGGGAGGATATATCTAGTGGGTGCCAATGTTCTGTCCTGGGTCTGGTGCTGTTCAATGTTTTCAGGAATGACTTGGATAGTGGGGTGGAGAGTATGCTTATGAAACCTGTGGATCACACCAAGTTGGGAGGTTTGCTAGCACTTTGGAGGACAGGACTAGAATTCAAAACTACCTTGACAAACTGGAGAACTGGTCTGAAATCAACAAGAGGAATTTCATTAAAGACAAGTGTAAAGTACTGCACTTACGAATCAAAAACCAAACGCACTAATACAAAATGGGAATAACTGGATAGGTGGTAGTGCCGCTGAAAAAGATCTGGGGGAATATTGTGGATCATAAATTGAATGAGTCAGCAATGTAATGCAGTTATCTAAAGGGCTAATATAATTCTGGGGTTTATCAATAAGGGTATTCTATGTAAAGCGTGGGAGGTAATTGTCCCACTCTACTCTGCATTAGTGAGGCCTCAGTACTGTGTCCAGTTCTGGGTGCCACAGTTGAAGAAGGATGTGGAAAAATTGGAGAGAGTCCAGAGGAGAGCAACAAAAACAACAAAAGGTTTAGAAAACCTGACCTGTGAGGAAAGGGTTAAAAAAACTGGGCATGTTTAACCTTGAGAAAAGACACTAGGGGAGAAGGGGCGGGGGACTAGATAACAGTATTCAAATACATCAAGGGGTGTATAAAGAAGAGTGATCAATTGTTCTCCATAGCCACTGAAGGAAGGCTAAGAAGTAATCAGCTTAATTTGCAGCAAGGAAGATATAAGATAGGTATTAACAAATTCTTTCTAACTATAAAGATAGTTAAGCTATGGAATAGGCTTCCAAGGAAAGTTGCGGAATCTTTATCATTGTCTAACCCATTCTTTAAAATCGCCAATCACCTGTCAGGGATGGTCGAGGTTTATTTGGTTCTGCCTCTGCGCAGGGCTGTGGAGAAGATGAACTCTTGCGGTTTTTTCCAGCCCTATATTTCTATCTTTCTATGACTGTGGCTTTGATTCTCTGCAAAAGAGGGAAAAGGATCAGTTCTCTTGTTTCCTCTTATTGGCCTGATGCAAAACAATGATGTCAATGGCAGTGGATTTTGGATCAGGCCCTTTGTGAATAGCACGGTGTTTTAATTTATCTTCACCTCTAGCACAACTTGTATCTCCCTATGTCACACCTTCAGTTTCCTGTTGTAGGTCCATGCTGGTTCATGGCTGCAAGTGATAATTGAAATCTCTGCTCATTTTCTCTTTCCTACAGTTCCCTGCCCAACTGCTAGCAAGCTCTCCTCCTTTCCAGCCCACAGATGCATTGTTGAAAGACAAGGTCAGTACAGCCAGCAGCACTGAAATGAGCACATGGAGTGTTTAATCAAACAGGTGTATTCACACTTCGAAGCTATTTGTTTTGAATGAGGTAGTTCACCTTCATAGCTTTGGGAATAAGCCAACACCTAAGGGTTTGAATTGAATCCAAGCCCTGTTTATGAAGCTTTTATTTTAGATACATTCAATTTCATTTAACACTCACCAAATCCTTCCCAGACTGAATTGTAAGAATGACCTGGGGGAGGGCGATTGAACTCTGAAAACTCAGTTCAGACACTCACGCTGATGTTAAAATAGTGTTCATCACCCAATAATTGCCCGCTGGGTTTTTCCTGTTTGGACTTTCTTCTTCAGTACAGGAAAGGTCCCCAACAAGTGTAGTCATCCTGTGGTCTGGCAGTAAGTTTCCCAAGAGGTAGACAATCAGTGGTCCTACAGTCTCATAATAAACTTACCAAAGCAGGACTGTGTTTTGATTATCTCCACTGTATATTGTGTGTCTTGGCACACATACAGATGGCACTATTATAATTGATGGAACCTTTGCATCTGATGAAATGTATCCATTCTATTGTTCCTTTTGTGTTTTTTAACTTTTTATTATGGCAAAGTTACATCTTACATTACTTGTTCAGAGTCAAGTTAATAGTCAAAGAACATGCCTAAAAATTCCAATTTGCTGGCTAATGAGCTATCCTCCTCTGAGTACTCTAGAAAGGGTGACCAAATTTCTGAATACCTGTGCTCTTTTTGGCATTTCTCTTGTGTACGTACTTGGCATGGAAGCTGTTCCCTTACAAGAACAGTTTGTATTTTATTCTATCACAGTTCCATAGGAGGAGTGGGTCCAATTTTTCCACCAATGTGCAATACATATCTTAGCTGCTAACACTAAGAAAGGAATTAATTTTGTCATTCTGTTTAAAATGACGATCCTTGACTGGAGCATTAAGTAAGCAGGTTGGGCATCTCTAGGAAGCTGACATTTTGTTATCAAATGAATCTCTTTAATATTTTCTGCCCCAAACCGTCTAATTCCTGGACCCAACTACCACGTGTACAAGTATGTTCCCCTTTCCCCTCAGCACCTCCAATAGAGCACCTCCCTAGTAGCAAAAATATGATGGCCCTTAACTGGAGTCAAATGCCATCTGTAAAGGAATTTGGAGCTTTTATTGAGTCTGCATTTCCTGATCAAAACTTATTTGCTATATCACCAGTTCCATTTTTCAATGTATTGCCATCTTTGGAATTCTTAGTATAAATAGTGCCAAGTCTATTAACTGTAAATGGTTTCAGTTGTTTTTTGTGTGTGTGTTGTTTTCCCCCCCCCCCTTTTAACCTCTTGAAATTATAAATTGAATCTTCAAGCTTTATATTAACATCTGCCAATTTTTAAATTAAGTCTGGCATTACTGGATACTTCAGATCTGTCCCCAAACTATAAAACCTAAAGTACAAGTATTGTACAAGAGCTCTCATCTACTGGAAGTGAAAGGCACAGGCTTTCTGTTACAAGCTTTATATTTTACATGGTAGGCTTTCTGTCTTTTAAATAAACTATTTTTCAATCCAGCAATCAAACAAAGACCTCTTCTGAATGAATGCATTATTGCTCTTGATGAGAAGTATACAATTACAATCATTCGGTTTTACTCTGATATACTGAGAATATCCTCAAATTTTTCATTGCAACTGCAAACCAGGTACTAGCTGTTTCTGAGTAATGGTGGTAATACTTTACATTAATATAGCATCTTTCTGTAAGCAGGGACAGGAACCTGGGGGAATGGTGCTCCCACACTTTTGACCTCATGTGCAATGTATATTTGGGGTCACACTGCATGGTGGACAGAATTTTATTCAGAAATGCACCAGGGGCCACTGCAGTATGGGTGGAGTACCTGCACTTACAAAATGAAGGCTACACCCCTCAGTTGGTCACAAAAGGCTACACCCCTCAGTTGGTCACAAAATTGGAACAGAACCAAGATCTCCTGAGTCCTGACTCTCAGCCTTTTGCTGTAACCAAAGTACAACGCTGCTTCCCCAACCAGTAAAACCATACCAAAAATCCACCCCTGCTACTTTTTGCCCCACCCACGAGTCGCCTCAATGGTCAGGTACATGCACTTTTGATTAATTGTTAGAAAACAAAGAGAACATCAAACCCTTCAAGTTCACACTTTTGAAATCAGGTTGTGTGATATGCTATTTGAAATAGCTTATTATTGAACATAGATTACGTGGCTTCTGGTTTTTTTCTTCAGTGTGTGTGTGTGTGTGTGTGTGTGTGTGTGTGTGTGTGATAGCTCAGTGGTTTGAGCATTGGCCTGCTAAACCCAGGGTTGTGAGTTAAATCCTTGAGGGGGCCACGTGGGGATCTGGGGCAAATCAGTACTTGGTCCTGCTAGTGAAGGCAGGGGGCTGGACTCAATGACCTTTCAAGGTCCCTTCCAGTTCTAGGAGATGGCTTATCTCCATTAATTATTATTATTTATTTATTTTTACCTAAATTACTAAATTTAAATGCAGAAACTAGGACTATTAAAGGTCATGGGATTGTAGTTAATGTTGACCAATACCAACTCAAAAAACAAACTCTCACAGGTCCTCCTTCTAGAGGTCATAAACCCAGAACTAGGGAGCTCTGAGGAAGGATATGAGATCAACAGTGTATTGACTTACTTTGTAGTTTCAGTGCTTGATCCTGCAAAGGTGCTGAACATTCCTGTGAAGTGCTACATGTCCTCAACTCACATGGATGACAATGGAAGTTGAGGGTGCTTAGCACCTAGCAGGCTCAAGCACAATATATTGAATCCTTTTCTAACTTGTTTCCTTTTTCTAACTTTGCTGAATCAGGCCTCCATCAAAAACTCAGGCTAGGTCTACGCTGGGGGGGAGAGGGGGGGATCAATTTAAAATACGCAAATTCAGCTACGCGAATAGTGTAGCTGAATTCGACGTATCCAATCTAATTTACCCCGCTGTGAGGACGGCGGCAAATCGACCGCCGCGGCTCCCGTCAACGCCGCTTACTCCTACCTGGGCTGGTGGAGTACGCGCATCGATTCGGGATCAATTGTCGCATCCCAACAAGACGCGATAATTCGATCCCCAAGAGATCGATTTCTACCTGGTGAAGATATGCCCTCAATGAAATCAGTGGGAGCCCTGCTATTGACATCTGTGGGTTTTGGAGTGTGCCTTTAGACTTGCTGAATGTCTTTGATTGGCTAGCTCAGTTTGTACTTCCACTAGCTAGCTTGTTTGCACTGTCTTTGCAGCCCTGTCTTTTTTTTTTCTGAGATATAGTGTGAAATTTAACTTGCCCTTTAGTTACTCCTTTTAAGTCAATTCAGCTTATGCATCAACTCTGTTTTACTTGGAGTCTGACCAGCTCTTATTTTGAAAGTTCTGCTGTTAAGGAATAGTTCCACCACTATTTGTGTCTTCAGTTAGAAATAAACAATGATTGACAATCTTAACAACTGGAACTAATTTGAATTTGTTCCTTCAAATGCAGTTTAGGTTGGTAGCCACAAAAAACCCTGAAAAAAATCCATGTAGGAAGCATAAGCTCTTATGAACACTGCGATGGTTTGTAGGAACCTCTTAAAATGCATAGATAAATCAATTTCTCTCTTTATGCGAATGGGAAAGTTGTTTTCTTTGCATCTGTTCCATAAAGTGAGTGTGGGTGGGGAGCTGAAAGCACTGTTCAATGAGCATTTTTAACTCTATAAAATAGGAGGCTACTTCTTCCACTATACAACATTTAGGCCATGTCTTCTCTAGCACTTATGTCGGTATAACTTATGTCGCTCAGGAGTGTGGAAAAAAAACTCTCACACTCCCAAGCGACATAATTTACACTGACATAAGCACCACTGTGGACAATGCTATGTTGATGGGAGAGTTTCTTCTGCCCACAAATCTGCTGCCACTTGTTGGTGGTGATTTAATTATGTCATCGGGAGAGCTCTCTCCTGGTGGCATAGAGCGGCTACACGAGAGATCTTACAGCAGTGCAGCTGCATCAGTACAGCTGTGCTGCTATAAGCTCTCTAGTGTAGACATAGCCTAAGAGTAAGACCTATTTACCATGTGTGAGTAAACCTACCACTCTTCGTGTGTAGGAGGACAAAGGTTCTGCTACAGTGCAGATTTTCTGAACACTGAGCCGACTGGTCTGATATCCTACTTCTGGTAGGGCCTTCAATCTGACACTTCAGAACCCAGGGATAGTAAATTATTTTTTGTCAAGATCCAAATTTCTTGGTCAAGGTATAGTCAAGGTCCAGACTCCAGAGGAGGAGAAGAAAATTAAAAAATGACAAAACAAATAAAAGGAAGTTTTTCATCACACAGCACACAGTCAACTTGTGGAAATCCTTGCCTGAGGAGGTTGTGAAGGCTAGGACTATAACAGCGTCTAAAAGAGAACTGGATAAATTCATGGAGGTTAAGTTAATGGATATTAGCCAGGATGGGTAAGGAAGGGTGTCCCTAGCCTCTATTTGTCAGAGGGTGGATATGGATGGCAGGAGAGAGATCACTTGATCATTGCCTGTTGGGTTCACTCCCTCTGGGGCACTTGGCATTGGCCACTGTCGGTAGACAGCATATTGGGCTAGATGGACCTTTGGTCTGATCCAGTACGGCCATTCTTATGTCCTTATGATGATGATAAGTAGTAAATAAAAAGGTTTTGAGGCCCGTTCAAAGGCATCTGGCAGTCCAAATTTGGCCCACGGTCTACCTATTGACTACCCCTGCTTCAGAGGAAGCAGTAAAATTCACCAATGCTTGTATTGTTGTTCAAGGAAGAAGACTTCTTTCCTGATCCTTTACAAGTGAGCAGTTTATGCACTGAAACATGAGGTTTGGTTACTCTTAACCCAGTGTGACAGACCCAGACCAGTGGGATACAGGAGTCTGGTAGAAGGCAAATATACTGGTCACTGGATGAGTAGTTTTCTGTTCCCTGAGTGACAAGAGCAGGGGCTGCACTAGAGTAATCAGGAACCTGCTAGAATCAGTTAAGGCAGGCAGGCCAATTAGGACACCTGGAGCCAATTAAGAAGAAGCTGCTAGAATCAATTAAGGCAGGCTAATCAGGGTATCTGGGTTTTAAAAGGAGCTCACTTCAGTTTGTGGTGTGAGTGTGAGGAGCTGGGAGCAAGAGGCA